AAGCAAAAATTAGGTATAATTCACTGTATATATATATTTACTTAACATTATAATTACGCGCACGCGATATTTTCACTCCACTTCCCAAATTGATCATTTTTGTGTACGATATAAGGGACGATTAACCCTTTCGCGCCGAGCGCCGCATATATGCGGCATCCACTCGACGATCTGTGGGTACGGGCACCGCATACAGTAATGTCTCCCCAACTGACGCCAAGATTGTCCACAAAAATGGTCAATTTGGGAAGAGGAGATACGATTATTCGAGTCTTGCAGCTCATTTTTATAGTTGTTGACAATTCGTTACTATAAAAACGAATCGCAAGGCTCGAATAATCGTATCTCCTCTCCCTAAATTGTCCATTTTTGTGGACAACCTGAGCGTCAATTAGAGAGACATTACAGTATATGCGGCATCGAAATGAAGTGTATACAGAAGACAGAGATGTGTAATTTGTAGCAAAAATGATAAAAGAACGGATTCGCGGTACGAGTGCAAAGATCGCGATGCTGGCCTTTTTATAGATCCTTGCTTTCAAATATGTCGCACAGAATTGTATTATTAGTTTTTATGTATTATTATATTTTAATAAATTTCATCTCGTTATTAATTATATTAAACATTTAATCGTTAGGCTTTGTAATTATATAAATACCTACGTTACCTATAATTTTGTAAGTCTTTTTAAATGAAAAATGTAAATATACATGTTACATTAGAGCAACGATTGTTTTATTCGGCATAGTTATTATTTAAGACTTGGAACAACATATATACAGAAACCACGCGCACCGTGCATATTTCCGGAGCGAGTTTCCGTTCGGTGACGGTTGAACTTCGGCGCATGAAGCTGCCGTAGCGAAAGGGTTAAGAATAATTGACTGCATCTCGAAGCATGAAACAGTTTTTTGCGTGCCATTATAATCGTCAATTGTGTTTTGTCCGTACGTTCGGTTAGTCGCCTAACGTACATGCGCGACCGAACTATTGTACGCTCGATTCGCGCTTCCTACGGCAAACTAATGACGTGGAAGGGTCTCTAGTAGTCTTAGAGAACTTTATTTTTTGTGTTGCACTCTCTGCGAGCGCTGGTGGAAGAATGCTCTTCCAACGCTGGAAAGTCGTGGAAGAGCACCCGTGGATGGAGGTAGATTGTTTATTATTGGTCAAGGCACGAATCACCCCTTGGAGGGGGGTGTCTGCCTTGACCCTTGTTGGGGCCTGAGAGGGTTTCCCCAATGGTGGGACCTTTTTATGGCCCTTGTCTCTGGACGCAACAAATTGCGACAAACAAATTTCTTTCTTTCTCTTCTTCTTTTCTTTCGATTTCAGTGAATCGAAAACGATGCGATAGAAATCCTTGAATTCATCCAAATATTTATTTTCATCGCTTCAAATTTCACCTATCCGGTTTCACCGCGAACGCAGTTTATTCGACGTTTTCCGGTTTCGTTACCGCAGTGCGGCAACGATCGTGGACAAACGTCGCCGCAAGACAGAATCGAATTGACGGAACGACACCGGTTCTCACTAGTCGTCCACGTGGCCCTTCCAGACGCAATTATCCACTATTACTTGTACGATGTTTATCCAAAATACCAATCGATAGGCGATGCGTATCGATGATCTAGGCCAAAAGGTGCTCGAGAGATAAAATCAATTTCGACGGGGTATATAAAAAGGCCGGGCACATTACGGCAGGCATAGTAACTTCCGTAACTACGAGTTTAGAGCATTGTTCATTGATATTTAACGAACGTGAAAAATGAAAGGTAAGCTTCACGATTGTGTTCTATATTGTCGAACGAGCCAACAGTTATGGGAAAGGAATCGATGTAACGGGATTCCGCGTCGACAACGATCGCGGCAAAATCGAGAATTAGTTTCTGTTTGGGATCAATTCAATGCTCGTTATATTATACTTAGAAGCGACGCGCCTATTTCAACGCCACGTTGTTCGCTCCATTCGCATTTGCTGAATGGTCGGTTTTGTTGTTTTCTTTCTTGACTCTCGGAAAATTAAAAAAATAATCGTTGAAATTAGCCATCTTAAACCGTGCTCCTCGAACATATAATCAGGGCCCCGCAAGAGAAACTATACTTTATTTCTTGGACTTTATTATGGAAAACATATTGGCGCAATTGCAATCGATCTTTCATAAAAAATAATAGGGTTGTTTTTCGCGTTCGCTTGTACTCGCTTAAGAAACCGCATCTTTCTGCCGATCACAAACAATTGCGGATATATTTTACGTTAAAATTGTTATACATAAGATTGCTGTAATTTTTTATGTTATCTTGTATATATTTATATATTAATTAATATTATTATTAATACATAATATAAAATTACAGCAATCTTATTTATAACAATTCTATCGTAAAATATATCCGCAACTGTTTGTATATTATGTATTAATAATAATATTAATTAATATATAATATTATAGGTATAATATTATATAATATTAATATAATATAATATATAATATTAATTAATATTAATATTAATAATAATCATATTACATATTAATAATAACAGCGGAACTCGTTACCGATACTAGTGAGCTTGGATTTCGTAAACTAAACTTGAGATTTTCTCAATTTTTGTAGCAAAAAGTAAATAGATTGTATACATGAAAATATTCTATTAGCTTGTATTAGAGAAATAGTCGCCGGTCGAATGACAAAGTTCAAGAACTCCTGGCTCAAATCAATAAAAATTCGATCGCGTTTCATCGCAAATCGAATCGTGTGTGCGTCAACGTAAAATTTGGCAGCGCGAAGGAACGAGATTGGAGTGCGTTGTAATTAACTTCGTTAGCGAATGTTTCAGTTGAATAGTTTCCGAGTGAGTACGAAATTGATGCGATTTATCATTTTTCCTGGGCCGCATTCGTTGTCTTCGTGGCCGCGGATTGCATTTTAACTAAGGGAAAACTTATTTCAAATGACCTGTGGAACCCCCCATTTCAAGTATCGTAATTTTGGGACACTCTGTATAAGCATACTTAGAATAGTTAGGAAGACAGTTACAAAGACAGTGCAAATAAAATCACTTTTCGCGTGCTCCATCCGCGATTTCCCAGTTCCGTTCATTGGCCAGGCCGCCTCGTGCCAGTCAAGCTCGCCTCTGATTGGTCACTGTTTCTTGTTAATAATTCGTAAACGAAGCAGCGGATTGCATTTTCGCTAAGAAAAAAGTTACTTCAAATGACCTGAGTAACTCCTCATTTCAAGTATCATAATTCTGGGACACTCTGTATATACGTAGCTAGAATGGGGAGAAAGTAACAAACTTCGTTCTTTACGTGCAAGTTATAATCTTAAGGAGAACCCCGAAGAGGAGAAAACGTCTACAGAATATTCAGTGATATTTTGGAACCAAAATAATAATTGTTCAAATGTTTGTGCGGCGTATAGAACAAAGATTAATGGTGTTCGTCATCTTTTTTCAGCCGCATTCATTGCCTTCGCCGTTCTCGCGGTGGCCGCGTGGTCCGTGGACGCTGTCACGATAGTAAAATGCAGCGAAGATCAGGAAGAAGATAAAATTGAATATCATCCTCACCCATGCGACTGTTACACGTACTATGTCTGTATGGGAACCGACCCAATCCCCATGCCATGCCCGAGAGGTCTTCACTGGAACAGAGTTTCAAATCGTTGCGACTTGCCCGGCAACGCTAAATGCAAACCAGAGCCTGATTGTCCAAAGAACAATTGAAACTGACTTCGTCAAGAACCATCCTAGTTTTACCACACACTTATTCTCAATTGAATATGTCGCCTTAATGTATCATACTATCAATTAATAAACAGTACCTAAGAAACTATTTAACATCGTTTCAACGATCATTCTGAATCAACCTTTACTGCTAGCATTTTCCAGAGCATTAGTACACTCTGTACAAGCGTAAGTTGTGCAAGTATAGGTCGTAGGTGCCCGATATGAGAACGTAACAGACTTTTCGAAACCGTAATTTTCGTTCAAAAACACTTTTATTAAAAGTATATCGTTAATTGTGACTCGAAAGTCTGAGCAGAGAAACAAAGTATCGAGATCTCGATAACGTCCACGTGTTTTCGACACGATCCAAATTTTCCCATTTACGATTATTGAAATTAGAAAGACACTTTTAGGGTAAATTTATTCGATAAAGTTTCATTGGACATATATTGCGACAAATGTCGCTGGAAATTTGAACGAATGTACGCTTGTTATTTCTCTGAAGCAATGTAAAACAGCTGCTCCGTAAATCTAGCGTTAACGACGACATTGTCGGCACGCGACAATGTGCAATCGTTTAGTTAATTTTATTTCTCGCATCGTTGCACTTGCATAGGTTATAGATGCTAGATCATTCATTAATCAGAAAATAATCGACTGCTTATAATGCGAACGGATAAAGCGTAAAATGTATCATACCTCTGGAGTTAGTATTATTATGTATACAATGACATAATTACAGTGACAAAAATGATGAGAATACAATTACGTATATTAAATTTTTTTAATCGAAAGAGTATCCTGAATTTATTTCTGTTGAGGGATCATAATCGAAGGATTATTATTAGAAATATCTGTAAACATCGAACGTAACGAATCATCTAATTTGAATTTCCAGGATTCCGGATGTAGGATTTGGATAAAAAGTTATTGTCAAGATTAGAAAATTGCTGTTCAAGGGTAATGGTCCGTACGAATGATTCCGCTATTGTAATAAACGCGCAATTACGATACAAATGATCTCTATAAGTTGATATCGCGCTTTTACGAGCTGATAAACCAATCGAGAATTGAATCACGAGCCAGCCTGCCATAACAGCTATGGTGACAAACTAGCGCATCGATCTATTACAATAGAATTTTTACAATTTCTGACAATGTAATATCATGTTTCTATCTAAATGGGGATTATCGTGGCACAATCGATAATGATTCGTAATAATACACGAACACGAATACCGAAGATAAAGTCAGTCAAGCTGTCGACGGAGTATATAAGAGGAACGTAAAATTCGACAGCCGTATCGAATACTGTAACGAGAAGAATAAAGGCATTGTTTGGTTGATATTTAACGAAAGTGAAAATGAGAGGTAAGCTCGTTACTGCAGCGAGTTCGAGAAATACGTGTTTTCAGCAGTGTTCGATGAACCAACTGTGCGGAGGAGAATTATAAATAACAACCACGTGGATATATTGACAACGGTCGGAGAAGAATCGAGGATTAGTTTTTGTTTGTGACTACGGTAATGTCTCTCTAATTGACGCCCAGATTGACGCCCACAAAAATGGACAATTTGGGACGAGGAGATACGATTATTCGAGCCTTGCGGTTTATTTTTATAGTTATAAATTGTCCACAATTTAATTGTCCACAAGTGGAATGTTGCAGCATCTTTTTACGAGAAGCTACAACAGGTCAAAGTTGAGGAATTCTTCTCAAATGATCCATTTTAGTGGACAATCTGAGCGTCAGTAAGGGAGACATTACTGTAATTTGTTGTACGTCGCAGTAGTGTCTCAAGAAGTGTCACCTGATTTACTTCAAACCAACGTTAATTCGATCGCATTTCGTCCAATCGAATTTTACCAGTGACAATCATGTCAAAAGTTTCGCGCAAAAATAATAGCAAAATTCTTTCGTTTTGTGTTCCACGAAGAATTTTCCTAGCTTAATCTCGTTGCTTGTACGTTTCGTTAGACATCGCGTCGAAACTAATCTTTCTGCTAACCTAAACGGTTCTTGTATCGATTAACGAAGTCGAGATAAAGTCGTGGCGGCGTTCGAGATCGACCGTTATCGTTTCAACAATCTGTTAGACGGGCAGAATTTCTCGAATGCGTGAACAATCTGACAGCGCGAAGGAAATTTGTATATTGTGGACTGTGTTGTGATTAGTAGACTGAGGATCTCAATGCATTCACGGCATACAGTAGTATCTCTCCAATTGACGCTCAGATTGTCCACGAAAATGAACAATTTGGGAAGAGGAGATACGATTATTCGAGTCTTGTAGCTCGTTTTTATAATTGCTGAAAATCGGTCATTATAAAAACGAATCGCAAAGCCTGAATACGCAAGGCTCTCCTTCCCAAATTGTCGATTTTTGTGAACAATATGAGTGTCAGTAATGTCTCCCCAATTGACGCTCAGACTGTCCACAAAAATGGACAGTTTGGGAAGAAGAGATACGATTATTCGAATCTTGCAGCTTGTTTTTATGATTGCTGAAAATCGGTCACTATAAAAACGAATCGCAAAGCTTGAATTCGCAAGGCTCTTCTTCCCAAATTGTCGATTTTTGTGGACAATATGAGTGTCAGTAATGTCTCTCCAATTGACGCTCAGATTGTCCACAAAAATGGACAGTTTGGGAAGAAGAGATACGATTATTCGAGTCTTGCAGCTTGTTTTTATGATTGCTGAAAATCGGTCACTATAAAAACGAATCGCAAAGCTTGAATTCGCAAGGCTCTCCTTCCCAAATTGTCGATTTTTGTGGACAATATGAGTGTCAGTAATGTCTCTCCAATTGACGCTCAGATTGTCCACAAAAATGGACAGTTTGGGAAGAAGAGATACGATTATTCGAGTCTTGCAGCTTGTTTTTATGATTGCTGAAAATCGGTCACTATAAAAACGAATCGCAAAGCTTGAATTCGCAAGGCTCTCCTTCCCAAATTGTCGATTTTTGTGGACAATATGAGTGTCAGTAATGTCTCTCCAATTGACGCTCAGATTGTCCACAAAAATGGACAGTTTGGGAAGAAGAGATACGATTATTCGAGTCTTGCAGCTTGTTTTTATGATTGCTGAAAATCGGTCACTATAAAAACGAATCGCAAAGCTTGAATTCGCAAGGCTCTTCTTCCCAAATTGTCGATTTTTGTGGACAATATGAGTGTCAGTAATGTCTCTCCAATTGACGCTCAGATTGTCCACAAAAATGGACAGTTTGGGAAGAAGAGATACGATTATTCGAGTCTTGCAGCTTGTTTTTATGATTGCTGAAAATCGGTCACTATAAAAACGAATCGCAAAGCTTGAATTCGCAAGGCTCTTCTTCCCAAATTGTCGATTTTTGTGGACAATATGAGTGTCAGTAATGTCTCTCCAATTGACGCTCAGATTGTCCACAAAAATGGACAGTTTGGGAAGAAGAGATACGATTATTCGAGTCTTGCAGCTTGTTTTTATGATTGCTGAAAATCGGTCACTATAAAAACGAATCGCAAAGCTTGAATTCGCAAGGCTCTTCTTCCCAAATTGTCGATTTTTGTGGACAATATGAGTGTCAGTAATGTCTCTCCAATTGACGCTCAGATTGTGCACGAAAATGAACAATTTGGGAAGAGGAGATACGATTATTCGAGTCTTGCAGCTCGTTTTTATGATTGCTGAAAATCGGTCACTATAAAAACGAATCGCAAGGTTCGAATTCGCAAGGCTCCTCTTCCCAAATTGTCCATTTTTCTGGTTAATCTGAGCGTCAATTAAGGAGACATTACTGTATTCGGATTTTTCAAATGTCGGTAGATGTTCCTTTTACAATAAGCGATCTTTTAGTCAATTCGATTTTTCTGTAAAATAGCTTATGATAATGAGGATTTGCATAAGATCCGCAGTTTAGTAATAAACAGACTGCGAATTTTACGCATTTGTTGCAAAAATGAGTAGACCAAGAAGAAAACATCGACACTGCTGGAAGAATTCAACATTTTGATTATATCATTCACAACTCATTAGTATTATTCAAGGCAGGAACAAATGTCCAAGCATTTCCTGTTTATTGAAATCGATGCACAAAGATCCGCAGTCTAGTAATGAATTTCGTCGGCGAAGCTTCCTAGACTGATTTCAAAACTATTGCAGTCCACCATTTTTTTCCAGCCGTATTCGTCATTTTCACCGTTCTGGCTGTCATCGCCGCAACCGTACACGCTGACCTGATTGTTGCATGTAGAGGTACTACAGACCCTGACTATGTGGAGTACGTTCCTCATCCATGCAGTTGTGACACCTACTACATCTGCAATGGAACGGAACCAGTCCCCATGCCCTGCCCCAATGGTCTATTCTGGAACAACTTGAAGAGTATCTGCGACTTGCCCGGCTTTGCTAACTGTATCGTCCATCCTAAATGCTAGGAACAGACGTTCATTTATCTCATTCATAGCGACAAAGTATCAACTCTAAACAGTTCATCTATATGTACTTTCACCGAATAAATCCTGTGATAATTTACTGGAACGCGGTACATATAATGTGAAGCTGTACGATTCTGTATCAATCAATTCTTATTCGAATAATAAATTACGTTTTATTCGAATAAATTCTTACTCGATTGAATTCTTGTTCGAATGAAATCAAATTCGATCGAATTCTTGTTCAAATCAATTCAAATACGATTGAATTCTTGTTCGAATAAGTTCAAATACGATTGAATTCTTGTTTGGATAAATTCTTATTCGATTGAATTCTTGTTCGAATAAATTCTTATTCGATTGAATTCTCGTTCGAATACATTTTTATCCGATATAATTCTTCTTCGAATAAATTTGTACTCGATCGAATTCTTGTTCAAATAAATTCAAATACTATTGAATTCTGATTCGAATAAATTCAAATACGATTGAATTCTCGTTCGAATACATTTTTATCCGATATAATTCTTCTTCGAATAAATTTGTACTCGATCGAATTCTTGTTCAAATAAATTCAAATACTATTGAATTCTGATTCGAATAAATTCAAATACGATTGAATTCTCGTTCGAATACATTTTTATCCGATATAATTCTTCTTCGAATAAATTTGTACTCGATCGAATTCTTGTTCAAATAAATTCAAATACTATTGAATTCTGATTCGAATAAATTCAAATACGATTGAATTCTCGTTCGAATACATTTTTATCCGATATAATTCTTCTTCGACTAAATTTGTACTCGATCGAATTCTTGTTCAAATAAATTCAAATACGATTGAATTCTGATTCGAATAAATTCAAATACGATTGAATCCTTGTTCGAAAAAATTCTTATTCGATTGAATTCTTGTTTGGATAAATTCTTATTCGACTGAATTCTTGTGTTCGGATAAATTCAAATACGATTGAATTCTTGTGTTCGAATAAATTCAAATACGATTGAATTCTTGTTCGAATAAATTCAAATACGATCGAACTCTTGTTCGAATAAATTCTTATTCGATTGAATTCTTGTTTGGATAAATTCTTATTCGACTGAATTCTTGTGTTCGAATACATTCAAATTCGATTGAACTCTTGTTCGAATAAATTCAAATACGATTGAATTCTTATATATATATTCGAATACATTCAAATTCGATTGAACTCTTGTTCGAATAAATTCTTATTCGATTGAATTCTCGTTCGAATAAATGTTTATCGAATACAATTCTTCTCCGAATAAATTTTCACTCGATTGAATTCTTCAACGAATAAATTCAAATTCCATTGAATCCTTTTCCGAATAGATTCAACTTCATTCGCCAACGCCGAATAAAATTCGATTCGTTGATCCATTCATCCGCTATCCGAATAAAATTCCGCCGAGTCCTGGTGCTCGGTGATTTCTCGATTCTCTTTGCTCTCTTAGCGCGCGACGCAAAGGTGGTTCGAACGTCCGATTGGCTGGTTAATTTATGCTGTCTGCCCGAACAAAATCCCGGGAACTTCGGCGGCGTCCCTTGCCGGTGTATTCGCGAGACATTGAAATAATCTTTGATACTATTTGTTCCTAGTGCTGTGTGCAATCTCGGGGGTTAAGGCTGCCGAAACAATGGCTCGCCGCGCGAGTCTACGCAATGGAATCTGGTAAGTTCTCTTACGCGTCTAGTTCCCGCGACCCGAAATCTGGGAGCTCGAGGGGTAGATTCGCCCGTATCGTGAAAGCCGGAGCGACAGGGGCGAAGAGAAGAGTGGAAAGAGGAAGGAACAAGGTGAATCTGGCAGCAGGAGCGAGCGAGACGAAATGGAGGGACGGGCGAGCGAGCGACGGAGGTGGAGAAAGAGAGCGAGAGAGAGAGAGAGAGAGAGAGGGAGAGGGAATATACGGGTCCAACTCCGGTCGTAATGAACTTGTGAATATTTAGAGGGGTAATTGCCCGTCGCGGCGAGTCTGGTGCGTCTACAGCTATAAAGGGTGTCCACAAAATTTAGAAGCAAAACCAATATCAGTTGACCACCTGTGCTCGGCCTTCGTTACGTCATACGCGCGCGTACGTACGTTGGTACGCCGCGCCGGTTCGCTCCGGCCGTTCTGATAATTTGATTTCCAGGGGGAGACCTTACGGAGAGGGACCAGCAATCGCATCCTCAGCTCATTCCTCTTGTCGGTTTTGTTCGCCGATGAAAAGCCCTCGGCGAGGCTGCCGGTCGAATCATATCCCTGCGAGCGATACGCTAAATAGTTCATCTTTCATCGCATAATCTACACCCTGAATATTCTCCTGTCGTAATCTATGGAAAATAATAAAAAAAAGGGAAGAACCATGTTCTGGGACCTCTCGTTTGTACATTACTCTATATTAACCCTTTAACGTAGTTCGTCGAGTCTGATCCTGGATGGAGATTCATGGCGATAATTGGACTGCGGATATTTATGCGAGATAAACATTGCCTGCCTTAGTTGCGATTCTTTCTCTCTTGAATAATCGTGACGAATTAAAAACCGTACGTACTCGTTGTTAAATTCCTTTGATCTTTCTGCTGCTTGTAATTGCAATTACTGCATTTTAATTTGAATGCATGAGATCCACAGTCTAGCAACAACCTGTTAAATACGAACGTTACGCCAACGTTATTCAAGTCAGAACGTAATTTCTCAATGACTTGTGTCATCGAAATTTACGCACGCAGTGAATATTATTCACTCGAGCCGGACTCGTTATGAAGATATAAAACATAATCCGCGAAATCTGAATGTTACTCGCGTCTCTTAAATCGAAATCAAATTCTACTCTTTCATATTAAAATAAACGTAAACTTTCTTTCGAATTCGTTAGAGATAAGAAAGCGCTAATCGATTTAGCCGAGAAAAATCGTACCGTAAGCAATTAAGAAGGAGAACATCGTATAAATTGTATGAAGTGTATAAATTACAATGGCCGTTACACACATCCGTGAATCAACCGTTCCATTCTTCGTGTACGATTGTTCAACTCGCAGACGTATTGTTTTTCGTCGAGTGAGATTAGAGCGTGCTGTTTTCCAGCAAAAAGGCAATTATTTAGATCGGAAAACAAAACGATCCGCGGAAGCGATTAAAAGACGATAATCCTGACTGATGAGAATTACCGGTCGTCCAGTAAATGTACGAGTCTAAAGAGACACGCAACAAAACTGTAATTTAGAGGCAAGGCAAGCCCGAGCTTTCTTCATATCTCGTGCACCGCGAGCCTTCGCATTCTTTGCACGCCATCCGAGAGTTTTATAATCGGTATTCTCCCTTCCATCGCTTTTCCACCTCGCCGTACGCTTCCTTCAGCTCTCTCTCTCTCTCTCTCTCTCTCTCTCTCTCTCTTAGAAAAATGTCTGGCGATTAATTCGATCTCACCTCCTACCGGGACTAACAGCATGACAGAACGAACCGCGCGGCAAGACAGACAGCATAAATTAACCACCCGATCGGACGTTCAAATTTCCTTTGTATCGCGGACAAAAGGGTGAAAAGAGGGAAACGGGAACCTGGTGTTGCTGCAACGTTGTCTCAGCACGCGCGATAACTTCGGCCAACGGAAAAGCATCCGACGAACCTTTCGATGGTTCGCGATCCTGAAAGCAAGTACCACGATGCGAGAAATAAGTTTAACTAAACGATCGCACATTGTCGCGTGCCGACACTGTCGTCGTTAACGCTAGGTTTACGGAGCAGCTGTTTTACATTGCTTCAGAGAAATAACAAGCGTACATTCGTTCAAATTTCCAGCGACATTTGTCGCAATATATGTCCAATGAAACTTTATCGAATAAATTTACCCTAAAAGTGTCTTTCTAATTTCAATAATCGTAAATGGGAAAATTTGGATCGTGTCGAAAACACGTGGACGTTATCGAGATCTCGATACTTTGTTTCTCTGCTCAGACTTTCGAGTCACAATTAACGATATACTTTTAATAAAAGTGTTTTTGAACGAAAATTACGGTTTCGAAAAGTCTGTTACGTTCTCATATCGGGCACCTACGACCTATACTTGCACAACTTACGCTTGTACAGAGTGTACTTATGCTCTGGAAAATGCTAGCAGTAAAGGCTGATTCAGAATGATCGTTGAAACGATGTAAAATACTTTCTTAAGTAGTGTTTATTAATTGATAGTATGATACATTAAGGCGACATATTCAATTGAGAATAAGTGTGTGGAAAAAGTAGGCTGGTTCTTGACGAAGTTAGTTTCAATTGTTCTTTGGACAATCAGGCTCTGGTCTGCACTTAGCTTTGTTGGGCCAGTCGCAAATATCTTTAACTCTGTTCCACTGAAGACCTCTCGGGCATGGCATGGGGACTGGGTCGGTTCCCATACAGACATAGTACGTGTTACATTTGCATGGGTGAGGATGATATTCAATTTTATCTTCTTCCTGTTCTTCGCTGCATTTTACTATCGTGACAGCGTCCACGAACCACGCGGCCACCGCGAGAATGGCGAAGACAATGAATACGGCTGAAAAAAGATGACGGACATCATTATAATCTTTGTTCTACACACCGCACAAACATTTGAACCAATTATTATTTTGGTTCCAAAATATTACTGAATATTCTGTAGACGTTTTCTCCTCTTCGGGATTTTCCTTAAGATTGTAACTTTCACGTAAAGAACGAAGTTTGTTATTTTCTTCCCATTCTAGCTACGTATATACAGAGTGTCCCAGAATTATGATACTTGAAATGAGGAGTTACTCAGGTCATTTGAAGTAACTTTTTTCTTAGCGAAAATGCAATCCGCTGCTTCGTTTACGAATTATTAACAAAAAACAGTGACCAATCAGAGGCGAGCTCGGCTTACGCGAGGCGGCCAGGCCAATGAGCGGAACTGGGCTTCTTCCGCTCGTTGGCTCAGCCGCGTTGCGCCAGTCGAGCTCGCCTCTCATTGGTCAGTGTTTCTCCTGAATAACTCGTTAACGATGCGTCGGAGAATATTTTTGCGAAGGAAAAAGTTACTCCAAATGACCTTAGGAACCCCTCATTTCCCGATTGTGAGTGACTTTTGGAACACTCTGCATATTGTTTGTATAAACAGCGACGCGCATAGAGCTAATAACCCTGTAAAGAATGCCTAGCTTAAATGAAATAAAAATATTTCTTCGTAAGTATTATTAGAATTTATTAAGTTGACGCAAGATTAATGGCTTTTTACTTTGATTCTAAACTGTACTCGATTGAGACAGAGACGTGAACCGTTAAACTCGCAGATGGTTGAAGAAATAAACTAGCTTCGAAACTATGTGTCACGAGCGCATGCGACATGATTCGTTCGAGAAACTCGGTGTAGAACGCGAAGCAAGATAATTCTGTCACTATTTTTCCACGTATCAAAGCCCGTATGAAAGCACGTAAACACTGAAAACATTCGATCGAACAGGATCCAAGTCCGTGTACTTTTCGTTAGTTTATATCGGTACGAGTTAAACAACAACGAATCGGATTAGACAGAAACGACGAATGGAAAATACGAGCGACGTCCGTCAACGGCGAACAGTAAATTAGTCACAAACAGACACTGATCCTCGGTTCTTCTCTGATCGCTGTCAATCCACGTCGTTGTAATCTTTAATTCTCCTGCGTATCGATGGTTCATTGGCGAACGCGAAAGGTACGGGTGTACCGGACTCGCTGCCGTAACGAGCTTACCTTTCATTTTCACCTTCGTCAAATATCAGCTCTCACGATGCTCCGAACTTCTCTTAACAGGACTCTACGGGCGTGTGGAACATCGCGTTCCTTTTATACACTCCTACGGCTGGATTTGCTTTATCTGCGAATGCCATTAACTTTCTCGTGCCGTTGTCAATTTTTATCAATTGCAACGCGATAATTTCGATACAATCGTAACATTTCGTCGAATTTAGAACACGATTTCACGTTCTAACTGTATCAGCAAAGATTTCGGTATCGGAGAGTGGAGGATTAACTAATATTTCATTTTTATTACGAGTCTTCGATTTGCAGAGAATTCTGAATTGTGTACTTTGTAACTGCTGCTCCGCGCTTAATTGTTCTTCGCTCCCGGTTTCGCGTATGCAAATCTTATCGTCGCTATTATGATTTGATGCTCGCGATCGAAATCTCGGTTGGTTATCGATTCGGCGAAACTTTCGTATCGATTTACGGGGGCCATTTTTGCTGTGATTGGATTAACGACGCGTTGGGTTTTACATTCTCTCTCTCTCTCTCTCTCTCTCTCTCTCTCTCTCTCTCTTCTGGATTAAGTGGCTCGTTAGAACACTCAAATTATTCGAAATAAAGTAATTTCTCTCTAATTCGCGTTCAGATTGCCCACAAAACTGGACAATTTCGGAACAGGGGACACGATTATTTTTATTATTAATACGATTATTATAGTCGCCGATTGTCAACAACTATAAAAACGAGCTAGGATAAGGCTTTAAAATGAGCCCAAGTGGAATGTTGTAGCATTTTCTTACGAGAAGTTACGATAGTTCAAAGTTGAGGAATTCTTAGATTAGAATTTAGCGAATTTTGCGGTGAATTTTGAGCAGTATTTTGGCTCGAACAATCGTATCTCCTCTTCCCGAATTGTCCATTTTTGTGCGCAATCCGAGCACGAATTAAGGACAATGCTAATCGAATGCTTCGTGTATCCAATAAGCGGAAATTTAAGTCAGACTCGTGAGAGATTTGCGGAAGCGAGGAGCACGCACACTGTTAGAGAATACGAAACCGTGTCGGATGCTGCTGCTGTTGAAGAACTGGAAGTGGCTCCGCGAGGGTATAACGATCAAAGATTTTGCAGTTGCGCCACTAACTTTTGGCCAATAGAAACTGATGGATGTAGATTATGCGAGGCCACTAAAGGCGACGAAACGGCCAACAATCAGGCTGCCTGCAATGAAAAGGGACAACGGGGATTGGGCCGAATGCAATCAAGAGCCTGCTCCCACCTCCTGGTGCTTCCAGGGTTAACCCTTTATAGGACATAATTTCTGAGAAACATTCTTTTTTTATTGGACGATGCATATAGGAAACCGAGAAAAATCGATCGATCGTTCTCCATGCTCGAAACAACTTCTAATGGCTCCAGCGACGCGCATTCGCGTTACTCGCATTTCAATTCAATTTGTAATAACCACATGTTTTTATTGAACGGTTAAAGAATTGTTAGATCACGTTNAATTATATTATATATTATATATTATATTTATAATTATAATAATATATAATAATATATAATTTATAATTATATATTGTATATATACAAGAAGTCGTGGAAGTGCTGTATTTATAATAATACTGATACTAATAATTATAATAATAATAATAATAATATATATATATATATATATATATTATTATTATTATAATTATATTATATATTATATATTATATTTATAATTATAATAATATATAATAATATATAATTTATAATTATATATTGTATATATACAAGAAGTCGTGGAAGTGCTGTATTTATAATAATACTGATACTAATAATTATAATAATAATAATAATAATATATATATATATATATATATATTATTATTATTATAATTATATTATATATTATATATTATATTTATAATTATAATAATATATAATAATATATAATTTATAATTATATATTGTATATATACAAGAAGTCGTGGAAGTGCTGTAAGTCAGAAAAACCATTTTGGATTTTTAGGTAAAATGGCTTCGAGTTTTTCCAATTTTTCAATTTGATCACCGATGAATGAATTACTGGATTTTCATCAAATTCTCGTATTACACTTTCCGCGTCTTGCATCGGATCCTAAGCTCGGTCGAATCGCTAATTACGGAGATTTTTGGGAAATTATCTTTAAAAGGTAAACAGTATTTTTCGGCAAATCGAAATCGAAACGATAAAAAATATTAAAAATACCGCGGCCGATGTTTCAGGCTAACGGGTGAAAATTAGAAAGGAAACGAGCGGCTTCATAATTTCCAGTAGAAAACCGCCGCACGCGGAACGAAGCAAGTTTGTATGCGCAAGTCGGAGGCAACGTAGGGTTCTCAACAAAAAGCTCATAAAAATTTAATAGATCGTCCCGCTCGAATGTGATGGCAGGCTTTTACGGCTTATAAATGCTTCGTTAGATTGAAAACAATTTCCCCGGGACGGAGATCGCGCCGCAAACTCGAAACCGGCACCGGCCAGTTTAAAAACACATTTCAGCGATTCCGCTTCCGACCAACGAACCGGTCCAAATGAGTTTTAATCACTCAGTATTAGATTACCCTCCGGGTTTCGGTAACCAA